GCACAAAGCTGAACTGGTCTCCAGACAGACGGAGACGAATCTGGGGACTGAAAGGCTGAAAGAAGAGCTGGTGGTCACTCTGTCCAGGGTCACTAACATCAACTGCAGCCTGACGGAGGTGTCAACCCCACATTTGGTCTGTGATGGTCGTCTAAGCACTTTGGGGTTGTGATCAAAAAACTGCAGCTGGCTTTGATAATAATCACTCACATAGACTCATTTTAAAACAGGTGACACAACATGACACAGACGTACGGAGGTGGGAGTGATAGACGATTCACCTGCTCCAACTGCTCTGGGATGGAAATTGTTTTATTACCTCAAATGCTCCACACCCCTGAACAAAATATTGATTTTAACTTTCCGTTTATACAGGTCAGGAAGTCTCATTCAGGAGAAACCTGAGACCTGATTTGGATGAAGTTCACTAATGTTTTCTAAAATAACACTGGATGATTGTCTTTGCCTTGAAGGGGCTAATTTTGGTGGGTCTGATTTGATACAAGAGATGAAATTTATTTAATGATTACCTTTTGCTAATTTATAGGAGAGCTTGGGTTGTAGTTGGGTAACTGTTTGCAAAACCTGGGTTGAATAACAGTAGTGGGAAGTTTAAAACTACACCATATTTTTAGTTCTGTAACTAATGCTCAATCTGGGTGTTAGTGGATTGCAGACGATTATACTTCAGATTTGAAACAATGCCGTTTCAATAAGGGGGAGGTGTGTAGGCAGCTCTGAGCAGGGAACAGTTCATACAATGTTTAGATCGCTACAAACTATACAAAAATAACTTCTTCTGAGGCGATTAAAAGATCATATCATGTAGGGTAATCACATTGACATTGGGAAATGAATAAATCAGAAACCTACATAACGACATTGCACTTGTATATATGTATATCAGTTTAACAGAAGTATATTTTTCTCTTTGTTGTAATGTGTACAGATTCCAGAAAGGGGGACGCCCCTAGCCTGAAGTGGATTTGAGCAAAGGTTAAAGGGAAATGGGGTGGTTTGATAATTTTAAACACAACTGACTTGACTGGACTGGACTGGACTCTGATAGTTTAATTGGGCTAATAAGAAAAATTTCATGAACAAAGGATTTTAACCATTTTTTCCTCGTTCTCTTTCTCTTTTATTTTTTCTCTTTCTCTCTGTTTCTTCCTTGCTATTTCTTCCCTTATCTAGCACAGACAGGTACCTGGATGGAGGATTAAATACTTTTTTTCTCTCACAGTGTTGTATGTCAGTTGGTTAAACTTTTAAGTTTATATTGTATTTTGATTGATGCTGTTGGTGCAAGCGATTTAATGAAGTTACTTCCACAGGCTCCAGGAGGAGGGGGGCCAGCGTGGATGATTGTTATTATTGTTATTGTTGTTGTATTGTGTATGTTTAATTTTAATTGTAGGTAGACCGGTTGACGACAAAGGCTTGTAAGGGTGACAGATGGGATGAGAGCACACAAGTATCCCTGGAGAAGTCCAGTATGTAACACAATTCAGCTTCGAGTGTATAGATGCATGTAAGAATAGCATTTTATTTTAGTTTTACTAATTCTGTTTTAGGATAACATTGCTGTGTAATAATACACCTATCAGTAGCAATAATAACCATCAGGGTGCCCAATAATTCAGAAATAGGTTTTATTCACTACAGAAGTAACCACAGTCAGTTTTTCCAGGCCCAAAGGCCGTGCAGGGTGTTTAACAATTCGCGAGCTTTGGTGTCCAGCTTTTCTCATCAGGAGGGAGGAATTCTGACCGAGGAGACAAACTCACATCAGACTGAGTCCTGCTGAAAAGAGGGACAGGACAAGACCCCACCAGGTGGTGGACAGAACATCACATGTCATCGGTCCCCAGAAGGAGAGTGGCACCTGTACAACCCCACCAGGGCACCCCTGCAGAGGAGAGGAATCGATCGCTGGACCAGATGCAGGGTGATCTGAAGACAGCTCCCCACTACACCTGGAGGAGGTGACAGGACCTTTGTGGGAGCTCATTCTTTGCCCCTTTGTTCTGGTTGGAAAAAGGCAGTAGCAAACATCGGAGAAGGAGTCTCCGCTCTGCCTGAAGTCGGTCGGGTGGATCGGGTAAGGACGGAAGATTACCAGCCCTGACCGTGAAGAACAGAAGACGCGTCAAACTGATTTTAGTTTTGTCCCAATACACACACGTCATTTAGAATGTTTAATCAAACTGATAAGGTTCTGAGGACTTTACATGAAGATAACTCTGCGGGCCGAATCCCGCCGAGCACCAAAGGACCCTTGTGGACGAACAAGGGCTCCCACCGCAAGCTCAAGAACCGAAGACCTGCTAGATAGAAATGTTTAAATTGAGGGTGTTGGCTTTTCCTGTTTAATATGAGTGTTTTGTCTTACCTTTCAGTCATTCTGAAAAACAACCAGAGAAGGGTCGTGGATTCAATTGGAAACTTAACTATTCATTTAACTTGACTATTAACTTAACTTGACTATTAACTTAAATATTCATTAACTTAAATATTCAGTTAAATTAAATATTCAAATATTTTACTCCATTCAATTGGGCATTTAATCCACGAGGTATTTTAAAGGTGGTTTAAAATAGAGTTTCACTTATTTATCTTTCTCTAGGAGGGGTGTTGCCGTTTTTTTGAATTTTTATAAAGGTTTATGTGTGTGGTACTTTTCACAGGTGTTGGATCAGGGGTCTGGTCCAGGACCCCTGGGGAGTGCAGTAAGGTTGCGTCACGTCCATATTGATAAATAAATCCATAAAGAGGGTGAACTCCCATGAATATGGGAGTTCAAAAGAGGGAATGTTGGATTTAATATTCTATAGTTTTATAATTTCTATCAAGCACTCAAATGTCATGTCACATAAAGGGTGTGCTTGCTAATTCTAATTAGTTGACCTTTAAATATAATCTCATAGTAGCTAAAGATAATTTTACAAGTTCACATTTGATAAATTACAAGCAATCAAATCAGGCCAGAGAGCAGACTGATTAACATAAATAAAGTAGAACACAGCTCTTTAATTTAGACAATATAGTTTGACTAAGTAAAATC